CACCCCAAGAAATAGCTAGAGGTAGTGAATGGACGAGGGAACAAATGGAAACAAGAAGCAGGAGTAGAAGCCCAGAAAGCACAAATACAAAAAGTAGCCGAGGCAAGAAGAAAAAATAAAAACTACTTAAAGACAAAACGCCCTAATATAGTAAAATGACAGGAATTTTTATTAACGGTAATAGTAAACAGAGAATAACGAATGACGAATTTGATATGATGGTTGAACTGATGAAAGCAGAAAACGACTTAGTCTTACAGATGATAAGCGAACAGAACCAGACTTCGAGCGATGACAGTGAGCAACCCGTGAGGTGGAGGGACGACCAGAAGAACTACCACCAGAATTACTACAACAATAACCTAAAACAGTCTTACACTTGTGAGGACTGCGGAAGGACGATATCAAGCAAATCAAATTTATCTAAACACAAGAAATCTAAAATTTGTTCGCAAGCTTCGCGACAATGCGCATTATGAAAAAATAATAATCATTCATCTTATTAAAAACACTTAATGAGATTAATGCGTTCATTCTCAACCCGAAACCCATTTTCTCCAACAGTCAACCCCAGCCCGAAAAACTACTTAAAGAGAAAATACCTTATATTATATAGAGTATAGTATTATGGTTTCCATGACAGAAGGAAAAATTATAGATTTCATTTTAAACAGCCAACAAGGCGAACTAATACAAAAAGAAGGGAGGCAAACACAAAAACTCAAAATAGGTGATAAGACCTACAGATATGATAAGAACAAACCAGTTTCAAACGTATTGAACACGAAACTCAAGGAAGTGGCGAGGAGTGACGGATATAGAAAGCATGGCCTTTTAATGAAAGGTGCTAATTATCTAAAACTAACGAGAGGCAGACCCTTACAGGATTATGTCAAGCGTTTCAAGTCCAAAATCACAGACGAGCAACAAGCGTTCAAGGGATACGCCAACACCTACTCGGTAAGTGATATAAGATTAAAGGGGTTGAAAGGTTTATCCTACTTAAAATACCAGAAGCAACGACTGGCCGAATTCCTGAACAGAAACCCGAACATGGAAATAATCGTTGAAACCGATTTATCATTCAACATCCCGACAACGAACTTATTCAAAGGCGGTTAAGAAGCAGAAGATACAATATTCATAATCCCGACGAGTTGAACACCGTCTTAAACAACATTTGGGCACGACATTGAGACACAAATTGAAATAACCGATTACATTCAGTCGGGATTGGTTCTTGGTCAAGCTGAAAAGTTAGTCATCAGTTATGATAGGTACAATCCTACCCGTGGTTCATCATTCATTCCATTACCCGACTGGGTGGCAAACAAAAAGGCTTGTATTAATATTAAAAATGAGGACGACTTATGTTTTAAATATTCCGTTCAATGTGGATTTTATGAGATATTCAAAAAAGACCATCCCTGCGACATGTATCATTATAAGAAATATGTAGATGACAAATTTATCAAATGGGACGGAATAGACTTTCCTGTAGGTAATGATGAGATTGAACTATTTGAAGAACAGAACAAACACATATCGGTCAATGTTTATTACATAAACCCCGATACGAATAGTAAAACTATTTTATTATACAAAAGAAGCAACAACCCACAAGCACAACACAAAATCGATTTGATTAAATTGACAGATGATGTTAAATCCCATTACGCTTATATCAAAAATTATGATAAGTTAATGAGTAGTCAGACTAACAAGATGAAGGCGAAGAAGTATCACTGTAGAACCTGCTCACATGGTTTCAAGACCGAATAACTTTTAAAGAAACACGAAGAACAAGGATGTCTAGCAGTTGAGGGTCAAAAATAGAAATGCCAGAAGCAGGTGAAACAATAGTATTCAAAAACCATTTCAAGAAACTTAAAGCTCCATTCGTAATCTATGCCGACTTTGAATGTTTAACTGTGCCAATTGATGTTAAAAGCAAATCGGCAATAGCTAAAACTACATCATATCAAAATCATCGTCCGTGTGGTTTTATGATTAATGTAGTCAATGCTATAACCGGAAGTAGTGAGCCTTACTTATATAGAGGTCAGGATTGTATGGATAAATTTGTTGAGAAAATCAATAAAGTCAGAGAGGAAGTTTTGGAGAAAATGTAGGAGGACAAAGACCGTATTGAAACCGAGAAGGACTGGGAGGACTTCAATAATGCCACTAACTGCTTCATTTGTGGAAACAAATTTGAGGAAGGAGAAAAGAAGTGTTGGGACCATTGCCACTTTACGGGACAGTATAGAGGTTGCGCCCACGAGGACTGCAATCTACGATTTAGTATGAGATATTATAAAATCCCTGTGTTTCTTCATAACCTTAAAAACTATGATGCCCACTAAATCATCAACAAGGCTCACGAATTGAACAAGAATTCTAAAATAGAATGTATCGCTCAGAACAGCGAAAAGTTTATAACCTTTGGTTTTAAAAATCTTTGTTTCAAGGACAGTTTCAGTTTCTTATCGTCTTCGTTGGATAAGTTGGTCAGGTTGAGTAAATACGAGGATGATAAAAAGCGTGAGAATTGGAAGAAAAATTTCAGATACAGCGTTAGAAACCCGTATGTTAAAACCGATGAAGATTTGGATTTATTGACTGATAAGGGTATTTATCCCTATGACTACTTTGATGATTTTGAAAGATTTAAGGAAAGGTCTTTGCCACCGAAAGAAGCGTTTTACAGTAAATTAAGTGAGGAACATGTAAGTGATAAAGATTATGAAAGGGCACTGAAAGTATGGAAGCACTTCGGGATTAGAACACTCGGGCAGTATCACGACTTGTATTTAAGAACTGATGTTTTACTACTGACCGATGTATTTGAAAACTTTAGAGACTTGTGTATGGAATACTACGGTTTATACCCCGCTCATTATTACACATTGCCAAATTTCGCATGGGACGCGATGCTTCTAAAAACTGGTGTTGAAATAGAACAATTGCATGACCAAGAAATGTTTGAGATGGTTGAATAGGGAATGAGAGGAGGAATGTGTCAAGTCAGTCATAAATTAGCGGTGGCAAATAATAAGTATATGGGGGAAGCATATGATGAGAACAAGCCATCAAATTATATTAGCTACTTGGATGCTAATAACTTGTATGGTTTAGCAATGTCCCAGAAATTACCGCTAAAAAATATCAAGTGGGCAAAGAAACCGCCCAGTGTTGAAAAATGGAATGAAAACGATGAGTTCGGTTATATTATGGAAGTTGATTTGGAATATCCCGAAACATTGCACGACTTCCACTCTGACTATCCACTAGCGCCTGAAATAATGAATGTAAATGTTAGTATGCTTTCTGATTATCAAAAGCAATTCTACAAAATATATTATGATGGCAAAAATCCCAAGGATGAGAAAACAAGTAAGTTAATATTAAATCTAAAGGATAAAGAAAAATATGTGGTTCATATCAAGACTTTACAGTATTATTTGAAAATGGGAATGAAAATGACCAAAGTCCATAGGATAATAAAATTTCAACAGAGGGCATGGTTGAAACCGTGGATTGATTTTAACACAGGTAAAAGGAAAGAAGCCAAAAGCGATTTTGAGAAAGATTTATTCAAATTAATGAATAACGCGGTGTACGGAAAAACTATGGAAGACAAGCGAAACCATATGGACTTTGAATTAGTTGATAATGAGGTAAGATATGAAAAATGCGTTAATAATCCAACTTTCAAAAACAGGTTTATTATTAATGAAAATCTGGTAGGAGTTGAAAAAACTAAAGCGAAACTGAAACTGGATAAACCCATTTTCTTAGGAATGAGCATTTTAGATTTAAGCAAACTACATATGTATAAGTTTTACTATGATGTATTGAAAAAGAAGTATAATGAAAACATCAAATTGATATATACTGATACTGATAGTTATGTAATTCAAACAATGACTGATGATGTTTATAAGGATTTCAATGAGATAAAGCAACACATGGATTTTAGCGACTACCCTGTTGAGCATCCATGTCATGACAAAACTAATAAGAAGGTCTTAGGAATGTTTAAGGATGAAGTGAATGGAAAAATCATTACTAAATTCATTGGATTAAAACCTAAATCATATGCCTTCACAATTCATGGCGAGGATGATGAACATAAAAAGTCAAAAGGTGTAGTAAAACACAAGGTGAAGAAAGAACTGTCGTATCAGAACTACCACGAAGCATTATTTCAAAACAAAAAGCATGAAATCACATATAACTTCATCAGAAGTAAGTCGCATCAAATATATTCAATGTCTCAAGTCAAGCAAAGTCTGAGTAATTATGAAAATAAAAGGTTTTATAGTGATGCTTTCACTTCATTACCATATGGGCATTACGCTATTACAAAGTAATAGCCTAATGAGCTTCGCGACATTACTCCATAAAATAATTATCTAGATAGTTCTAATAATATGAAATTATTAGAATTATTTTCAGGGACAGGCTCGGTTGGTCGGGTTGCTCGGGATTTGGGTTTTAGTGTCATTTCCTTGATTTTGAAAAAATGCAAACAAAAAAAAAGGAACATGGTAAAACCCGACCCGTCCCAGAACCTAGAACTCGCAAGCGTTGAAGGTGATGAAGAGCAGGACTTCCAGACCTCGGAGTAGACAGGTGCGGGAACTATTTTAGGGTAAATGGGTTTAGGGTAAATGGGGTGGATGGATTAGGGGTAAACCTAAATTAATGGAGACCCCCTCCCCGAAATTGGGGTAGCCCCCTCCCCGAAATTGGGGTAGCCCCCTCCCCGAAATTGGGGTAGCCCCCTCCCCGAAATTGGGGTAGCCCCCTCCCCGAAATTGGGGTAGCCCCCTCCCCGAAATTGGGGTAGCCCCCTCCCCGAAATTGGGGTAGCCCCCTCCCCGAAATTGGGGAGACCTTCAACCCGCACTCTAGCAGACAACTGTTTCCTTTCACCATCAGTTTGTAGACGCTCTTATCTATACAGTGGCGTTATGGTTTCTAGCGCAAAACACTCACTGCAAAATGCAGTTGGATGAGACAGCATCAACATTCAGGTCAGCAGGTTGGCGGTCATTCCGGCTTGATAACTCTTGCTTCACCTTTTCCAGGAAGGACTGACCGTCTATGTTCAAGATGCCAGCCTGTGCGTTGAAGTTGTGGAACTCATCAACAAACATGTGGAGAAGGGCTGTTGTCGTCTCACTCTCTATGGACTGAAGGACGGAGACATACTTCTGAACCAACTTCACTGTTGGAAAGAGGACCTGGACAGCACGAGCAGCGCGTTCATCGTTCGTCAGGTTCTTGGTGCCAGGGACATTGGTAAACAATGTTTTGAGAACTGAGAGGCTCTCTGTGTCAAGGTGTCGTAGGCAAATGGTAATGAAGTTCTGTCCAATCCTGGTTCTCAAAGTCTCAAACTCGTGCTGTTTTAGCTTCAACTCATTGACCAACGCGTGGAAAGTCTCAGACATCTCCTGGTCAATCTCCGTGCTTGCATTGACCTTGTGCGTGGCCTCCAATTTGTCCTTCAGGTGTTTCAAGGCATCCTCCTTCTTTACAAACATCGGTTTCTTAGTGGTCCGCGCACCTCCCTTCAGCTCCATGGAGACACTGATGGTGTCAAAGTCCCTCACCATGTTGTCCTCATACGACAAGGAGCAGTAGAGCGTCTCCCCTTTGACGTTCATGAGCCTCAAGCAGTTGGGCGAAATCTTCACCTGGCCACTCAACATGGTGGTAAAGGTCTTCATCTTCCACTTCGGGTTCACGAAGATGGTGAGGTTTGAAGCAACAACCAAATTGACACAAGAAAAGTTCATCTTCGCATACAGGGTGATGAAGCACTGACTCTCAAAAGGGTCATCTCCCCCGTCTTCTGGTTCACTGTCATCTGGGTCTTCGTCCTGCTCGTCGGCATTGTCCTTGTTGGTGTCCTCTCCGCCATTCCCTCCCGAACCACTGGTACCCTGACTGCTCTGACCTGTCGCAGTTCCCTGCAAAGCATCTGAAACATCAAAGCCCTTGTCAGCGACAAACCGCTTCAGGAGGTTGACCTCAGACTGCAAGTCTTGCACCTCCTTGCGGATTTTGCGAGTCCAGTGTTCATCACCTGTTGGGCGTCCTCCTGAGGGTCTTACCGGCATGCGCTCCTCGTCATTGTCCAAATCTGGAACTTTGGAGGCGGAAGTCATGGTATGAGGGCACAAACCAGATTTCAAGCCAAATACTTTCACAAACCGAGCAAAGCATTCAAACAAAGGCAATTTGACAGACAATGCTTCTCAATCCAATCACATGCATAGCACAATGATGAAGAGCTTTTTTTTTCAGGGAGAGCCAAGAGGTCTGTTAGTGATTGTCATCGACGTGGGACAAAGGCACATTCACCACGGTTTTGGAACTCTCTTTCACACAGCTGAGAAGTTGTTTAAATGAACACATGCTTGGAGAGGCTTTCACCCGAAGAACCGTGGATGAATGGCAGACAAGACATCTGTACATCTACTGCCCTTCCGCTTCAGCGACAACAGGGGCAACCGAAGCGATGACGGTCATAGCCTCATACTCTGCCTTGGAGTATCCACTCAAACGAGCACCGTCAGGCATGTTCAGCGTCTTTCCGCCCAGTGTAGGACGAGCATTCATTGAGTGGAACACCTTGTCGTTCCAAATCATCTTGAAGTGCTTCGTAAAGTCGTCCTTGGCAGTCTTGAGGCGAAGGTTGGTGTAGTCAGGATGGTTCACCGCCACCATCTCGCGTAAGTCAGCAATCGTGCTGTCCTTGGACAGAGTGGCCGTGTAGGGCTCATCACGGAAACCCTCCATGTCGACGAATACTGTCATGTTGCTCTCGCGCTCCAAGCGGTTCTGTTCCCGAACAAGCTCGTTCCTCTCCCTCTGCCTCCGTGCGGTCTCCTCCTTCCTGATGCGGCTGTTCTCTTCCTCCAACAGCTCATTCAGGTAGACATGCTGAGCAGTCAGACGCTTGATTTCCTCAAAGATTTCCGTCTTATGGGTGTCCATCTCTTGGAAGGTCAACCCATTGACCAAGGTCTCAAAGTCCTCCTGAACTGGTGCAACTTGCAACGTCATCTTCACAGTCTTGGTGTTGTCTTCGGAAGAGGATGCCATGACAACAGTGAGAGGCGAACTTGACACTTCAGTCAAAGTTGTTGAGCGCAAAATGCTGGTGGGTAAACAACAAGGTCGAAGGTCAATCTCAGTAAGAGTTCTGTATTGTCTTCTGACCGGTCTCTATCTCGCTCACAAGTGTCCTCAAAACTTGCTTCAAGGCATGACTGCTACAATCACGAAATGAACAACCATGACTACACACGCCACAACCCAATCTTGGCAACCCGGCAGAACCAAAGAAGGTGTCAATGTCCACGAGGCCGGGGCACGGACGACGGGAAACCAAACACTAAAAATCAATAACTCACCCAACACCCCAGAACTTGATAACTACTAAAAGGGCCAACTCTTTCAAATGAAAAAAATGTTTGCCCCCAGCCCAACAATGAACAAGGCAACAAAAACCCAAATGTTCCACCTCTAACAAAACGATAAACAAGCTCCCTAAAAACCCTCTTTTAAAAACGAATAAGGGGGAACACAGATTTGAGATGAACATAAAAACCATAACAGGCAACCCTCAACAGACTTCCCCCCAGGCCCCCTACTTCTTCTATTTTTTCCCCCCCCCCGCGAATTTCAGGCACGGGCTTTTCGGCGGAGGCCATATGGCGCCCACACAAGGGGCCTGGCGGAACACGCCCTTTATGTAAGCGGCGCATATAGCCTCCGCGTGTCGAAAGCTCGCGCCCGAAACCGTCTACAACAACGCGCCGCGGCCGGCTAACCTCACACCTCCTAACCCGCCTCCCCCTCAAATTAATTAGGCGCGGCAAGGCGCGGCGGACCGCCCAGACCCCTCGGAAGCCCTCGGAATCTTTCAGTCCCCTCCAAGCGCCTTGGGTTCCTTCAAGGCCACGCCCCTCAGGTTCCTCATGACGCCCGTCAGGTTCCTCCAGACTCCTCAGAAACCTACAAGATCGAGGCGCGGCGCGGCGCGGCGCGGCGCGGGCTAAAGCCGGCTAACCTAAAACCTCCTAGCCCGCCTCCCCCCCGCGAAATTCAGGCATGGGCTTTTCGGCGGAGGCGATATGGCGCCCGCACAAGGGGCCTGACGGAACACGCCCTTTGCACAAGCGGCGCATATAGCCTCCGCGCGTCGAAAAGCTCGCGCCCGAAACCGCCGCGGCCGGCTAACCTCACGCCTCCTATCCCGCCTCCCCCCCTAACCGCGCGCCGGAAAGGGGCTGCGCGGCGAGGCGCGGCGAACCGCCCAGAACGCTCGGAACCCTGCAGGATCTTTCAGTCCCCTCCAAGCGCCTTGGGTTCCTTCAAGGCCATGCCCCTCAGGTTCCTCATGACGCCCGTCAGGTTCCTCAGACCCCTCACTCAGGAACCTACGAGATCTGGGCGGGGCTTGAAAACCGTTCCATTTTTGGCTTCCCCGGGGCCCTTTCTCGATTCGCCAACTTGGAGGCAACGCAGGCTTTGCTGGCCCCTCAAAAGAATGGTCGGTGATAAGGGTCACTCCTAAGGGGGTTTGCAGTCAGAAAACGGCCCCTTGAGAATTGCTCAATTTTTGCCTTCCCGGGGCCCTTTCTCAGCTTGCCAACTTGGAGGTAACGCAGGCTTTGCTGGCCCCTCAAAAGAATGGTCGGTGATAAGGGTCACTCCTAAGGGGTTTTGCAGTCAGAAAACGCCCCCTTGAAAATTGCTCCATTTTTGCCTTCCCGGGGCCCTTTGTCAGCTTGCCAACTTGGAGGTAACGCAGGCTTTGCTGGCCCCTCAAAAGAATGGTTGGTGATAAGGGTCACTCCTAAGGGGGTTTGCAGTCAGAAAACGGCCCCTTGAAAACCGTTCCATTTTGGCATTTCCGAAGCCCTAACGCGTCAACTCGCAGGCAACACAGGCTTTGCTGGCCCCTCAAAAGCATGGTCGGTGATAAGGGTCGCTCCTCAGGGGGTTTGCAGTCAGAGGGCGGCCCCTTGAAAACCGTTCCCTTCCACAACTTGTCAACTCGGAGGTGACACAAGCTTTGCTGGCCCCTCAAAAGAATGGTCGGCGATAAGGCAACGCGCCGCGGCCGGCAACCTAAGACCTTCTAGCCCGCCTCCCCCCCGCGAATTTCAGGCATGGGCTTTTCGGCGGAGGCGATATGGCGCCCACACAAGGGGCCTGGCGGAACACGCCCTTTGTGCAAGCGGCGCGTATAGCCTCCGCGCGCAGAAAAGCTCGCGCCCGAAACCGCCGCGGCCGGCTAACCTCACACCTCCTAGCCCGCCTCCCCCTTCAACCGCGCGCCGGAAAGGGGGCTGCGAGGCGAGGCGCGGCGAGCCGCCCAGACCGCTCGGAACCCCCCAGGATCTTTCAGTCCCCTTCAAGCGCCTTGGGTTCCTTCAAGGCCATGCCCCTCAGGTTCCTCATGACGCCCGTCAGGTTCCTCAGACCCCTCACTCAGGAACCTACGATCCGGGGGAGCGGCGGCCCCTTGAAAACCGTTCCATTTTTGGCTTCCCCGGGGCCCTTTCTCAATTTGCCAACTTGGAGGTAACACAGGCTTTGCTGGCCCCTCAAAAGAATGGTCGGTGATAAGGGTCACTCCTAAGGGGGTTCGCAGTCAGAAAGCGGCCCCTTGAGAATTGCTCCATTTTTGCCTTCGCGGGGCCCTTTCTCAGCTTGCCAACTTGGAGGTAACGCAGGCTTTGCTGGCCCCTCCAAAGAATGGTCGGCGATAAGGGTCACTCCTAAGGGGGTTTGCAATCAGAAAACGGCCCCTTGAAAACCGTTCCATTTTGGCCTTTCCGAAGCCCTAACGCGTCAACTCGCAGGCGACACAGGCTTTGCTGGCCCCTCAAAAGCATGGTCGGTGATAAGGGTCGCTCCTCAGGGGGCTTGCAGTCAGAAGGCGGCCCCCCGAAGCCCCTTCCACAACTTGTCAACTCGGAGGTAACACAAGCTTTGCTGGCCCCTCAAAAGAATGGTCGGTGATAAGGGTCACTCCTAAGGGGGTTTGCAGTCAGAAAACGGCCAATTGAAAACCGTTCCATGTTGGCTTTCCCGGGGCCCCCTCCATAACTTGTCAACTTGGTTTAGGGCTTAAGGTTTAGGGTTCGCCAACACAGCTTGGCGCCCAAGAGAAAATACTGGGATCACAAAAGTGGAAAGCTAGCCGCTTGGTTGGTTGGTAGGGGGGTCGACCCTAAGCTTTTTGAGATAAAATGGTCTACGGGCGATAAGCTGGTCTACGGCTTGATAAAACAGTCATTGGCCTTGATAAAACGGCCATTGGGGGCGATAAAATGGTCTACGGGCTGCCTTGGCTTCATAAAACGCCAATTGGCCTTGATAAACGGCCATAAAACGGCTATTGGGGCCTTGATAAAGCAGCCATTGGCCCAATTGCTCTTGATGAAATTGCAATTGGCGTTGATGTTGAGATTAAACGATCTCGGGGCCGTCCCCGCGCCCCGCGCCTCACGGTCGGCCCTGAGACCGTCTCCCGGCGCCGCGGCGTAGTCCCCAGCGCCCCGCGCGCCCAGCCCCGCCCGCCCCCCGGCCCTTGCCCCGCCTAGCGCCCCGCGCCCCGCGCCCCGCGCATTGAGCTCCAAAACCCCAGAAAAAAACCCAAAAACAAAAAAGAAAAAACTCAACCTCCACTTGCAAAACAAAAACAAACACAAAAACAAAAAAAAATCAAAGCCTCGGAGCCTAGAGCCCCGCCCGCCACCCGGGCCCCTTGCCCCGCCCAGGACCCCGCGCCCCGCGCCTTGCGCCCCTGACACTTGCGCCCCGAGACATTAAGCCCCGAAACCAAAAACCTCGGGACAGCTCAACAATGATGGGAGCTGGCGGGAATTGAGCCCGCGACCTCCGCGGCAGACGCACGATTCGACCGCATCACAAGGACAAAGGCTCGCTGCCAATGCGCACAGCCCCTTGCCTCGCAAGCCCAGCACAAAGTAGGCCGCTTCTGCCACGGTAAAACATAAAAAAAAAAAAAAGCAACAAGAAAAAAGAAAAAAAAAAGAGTTCAAACAATAAATAATTGGAAAGGCGGCGCCTAGCTCTTCTTTCTTGCCCCCTCGATCATAAAACAAAAAAAAAAATACTGTGTTGG